TGCGTATAAACTTCTGCTATTAAAGTGAATTAATGATCATTTGTTTTCAGTCTTAACATTGCTGTTAAACTGCTCATCCGTGTAATACTTGCAGTTATTTTCAGAGATCTTAAAAAAGTTTTTTTCAGGGTCAAAGTCATTGTCCGATTCATGATAATGTTGTTCAGTGTCTCCAATTGTGTTCAGTTCCAGATCCAGTCCCTCAAAAACTATTAACCTCTGTAGCAAATCACTTGCCTCATTCCGTACGTGGGTCATACTTGTTGTTGGCTCCTGCTAATTGTTGGTTCCAACGCTCATCAGGGTATAAACGTTCCTCCAGATGGTAAAACAAAGTGTCCCAGCCCCAGTAATTTTCTCTCATCTCTCTTACAGACATAGGCTGGTGACTCACAAGGTTGATTTAAGACTTAACAGTCTGCTGTTGAATTACCAGTGATAATAACAGCCATTTAGCAAATAACCCTCAAAATCACTGTTGTCATTTGTAACCTGAGAAATCACACAGAGAATCACTTAACAGAATGTCATGTCATCCCTAACGTAAAACAGAAACTGTTTTATGTGAACGGCTCACACATAAAGCATGAATTTAGTCAGTGCCATTTCTGTGATTCACAAGAGTTGTGGGGGTGTGAAGTTTACTCACATCCCCGTCACAGGCTGAGAACAAATCAAACAAATGTGTCCAGCTGCAAACTCAGCTAAACATCCAATGATACACTCAGAGACGGACCCCACCATGGATACAGGTGTATATTAAAATGGAAGCCAGGAATTATTTAGTCATTCATGTGGAGTTTATATTGCAAATTAGTGTGACTGCAGCTACTTTCCATTGTGGTAGTCATCATAAGCAACTAAGGACATTTACTCAAGTACTGTACAGCTTTGACAAACTTGTAGCTGACTTTACATGTACATTTCCATTTTATCCTACTTTATACTTCTACTCCACTACATTTCCAATGTTGTACTTTTTACTTTTTGTATTTTTTGTTTTATTCCCAACCATTTTGGCTTGTGACCCCTGACAAAAACGCAGTCTTACAAGCAGCACTTGTAACTGGCATTTAATTGAGAAAATTAACAACTAACAATAAAGTTAAACATGTTTAGATTGTTTCTTCCAAATTTACTAAAAATCAAAACAGAAATTTCTCACATACAAAAGCACTTGAAGCAGTCCTGTGGGCCATACATTTGCTTAAAATGCTTTTGTACTTACCTAGTAAGATTTTGAACACAGGATTTCCCTGTAATGGAGTATTTGTACTTAACTACTTCTGCAATCTGCCATATTACTATTGACTTAAGGGCTGGAAACATGTTGGATATGACTTGTATTACTTTATATACATGTATAGGCATTCACTTTTATGGATTACTTTACTAAGGTTATTACTGCATTGAAAATATTTAGAATACACTGTAAATGTATATATTTGAGGACATTTTTGTGCAGAATCTGGTCATTGCACGACTATCTGATGATTCTCAAAAGTAAGAATTGTAAACTTCATATAAGGTTCATCATGCACACCTAGAAATCCCTATCTGCTGAACTAAAGTGCACGCTGGGCCCGTCCATGTGATCTACACTTATTTTCTCACTTGAATGAGTAGATGCATGTATACAAACTTATTGAGTTCAAAGCAGCAGTTCTAGTTGTCTTTTTCTCCCATGCCTTGTTGCTGGCGCCCATTCATTAAGTCAAAGCCTATCATAAACAAGGTTACAGTGAAAACCCCCTCCTCCACATCGTCCGGACTAAGCAGCCACTTGTGGTGAAACACTCATTACTCACACATATAATGACTGGATTGTGCTGACTCCACCACTCAGACCGCAGGTAACTAGAAACACTTGGGCTGAAGCCATAGAAAAGTCCCATAACTGTAACAGGCCGAGGCCAGTCGCAGTAGCACACAATAAATAAACCTATAAGAATATTTGGACCAGTATGACGGTAAACAGACATCCTATATAACCGAGCAGTGGCAATAAGGCACTATTCTGGTTTTGGAAAAACAATCATACCGCCAACATGCAGAGTGTAGATAATAATTGCAGAAAAAAACATACCTATACTGTATATACAGACAGAAAAACAAACCCAGCAACGTTCAGCATCACAGTTAATATCGCAAAGACACAGCGAGGAAACATTATTCAGCAGAGAACTGATCAGCTTTCGGCTTTTGTTCCTGGAGGGCAACTCCAACCTGCATCCAACTCAGGCACAAAGAAAGTTTCCTCCAGTGTTTTATCCCATTAAAAGCGGACAAGTGAAGGACTTACACTGAAGAATCATATCGAAGCGCATCTTTGTGGCGACGCTGACAGCGACGGTAAAAACCTTCCAGAGGCGACGTGCACAGTAGGTCATAAACAGCAAACGCTTTAAGTGCACGGAGCTGCTGCTCAGCTGGATTTGTTGTGTTCCTGCGGGATGGAGCCGCCACATGCTCCGCCTCCAGTCAACCCCAAAACCTCTGCAGCAGCAGAAAAACATCTGCGCACACACCAAAACATAGTGACCACAGTTCAAAACAGGTTTAGAATTTGCCATCGATCCCATATTGATCTTATAATAGCCAACACTAATAATACGACTCATGTGTTTACATTAGTTAGAAGATAACCCATTTTATTTTCAACCCTGACCATTTGAGAAAACCTCCACACAAGAAAGGGATTACAAAAGGTCCTGCATTTTCTTTTTTTAAACTGTAGAAATGTAAAGGTTTCTGGACTGAAGTCGTCAGAAGTAGGGCATTTTACTTCTAGGCCTAGAGGTTTATGGTACTGATTCTATTCCAACATGAATGCATCTTTTCAGACTCAGCACAACACTGCCATCCCCAGTAACAACAGGGGAAATGTCAGCCATCCAATAATTCTACTGGTACAGTACAACATGACTTGGGCTTGACAGAGAAAGGTCTTTATTAGATTATGTACACTTTTTTAAAAACCAATTGTAGACACAGAACAGAGTGAACGAAGCATGCTCTGCTGATGAGGCTCTGCTGGAACATGCTTCTGTCAAGCTGCAATACACAGAAAACAAGCTGATTGAACTGTGTAGAGTCCGTTATGCAGAGCCCTTCAGTCAGCTCCTCTCAGTCACGTTTGTTTCCATGATCTTTAATGAAGATCTGAGGTATATCCTGCCATCCCTCTGAAGGCTTCTTCAGCCCAGCTCGTCTCCAAATCCTCCTCAGATCCAACTCAAATCGTCTCTGCACACAACAATCACCCACAGTTGGTCATGTATATGGTAAAATTACAATATATTTAGCTAATCATGGAAAACCTTTTTAGAGAACATCAGGCATGCAAGACTTACAATAATCTTACACAAAATAAATGTCATTATCTTGGTCAAGACAAAGAATCCTTTATCTCCAAAAAGTCCCCACCTGCTTCTTCTTCGCCTTTCTCTCCAACACTCTCTTCCTCAAGAATTTTGTCCGTTTTAGCAGCTTCCTGTATTTGTGCCGGTTGATCTTTCGGCGTCGGATCTCCAGAACATTCTTACATCTAAGGGGTGGTGCTGAACCCTCTCCATCCTCCAAACCAGGAACAGAGATGGGCAGCACCTTCTCTTCCAGCAGCTCTATGTCTTCCCACTGCTGAGTGGACTCCGGCAGGGGAGGAAGGGAGTAGCGCAGGGAGAGCCAGCTCTCCAAAGGACTTACTGACAGTTTACGTGGCACAAGAGCCTCATCCAACTCTGGCTCAAGCTGGACCCATCGAGGACGAGATGTGTTGTCTGCTGCTGTTGAGTAATTTCTCAGTTTCTGCTTTGGTGAATTGCAGTACGTAGAAAGAACTGGTAGTACACATTGATTCAAAATTTCTCCATGGGCCTGAAGTGCACCTGGTTAAATAAAAAAAAAAAAAAAAAAAAAACAACAACCTTGGGGCAGAAAAATAATAACAATATTATATCAGTGATGTGCATGTGTTCACTGACAGAATATTGGTTTGAAAATTATTGATGAGCGAGAAAATTGCACATGAAATTCACCTCAAGTATGCAACGACCTTTACACTGCTTGAACAGATACACCGAAAATATATTAATTTTAGATTAGATATTTGCTTATACTTACAAGTTGCTTGGCGGAACCAACTGAACCGAGGGATAAGCTTTGAAGTAAACATTACTAATGATCATTCAAATAAAGTCATGAGGAATGGGTGGACTGGTCACTGGTCCTGTGGGCATGAGCAAAGGACTGTGTGTTAGATAGCGCCCTCACATAACCTTCAAACTAGTAAAGAAACAATAATTTTAGGCCTGCACACTAGCACTAGTGTAGCACTATCTACCCCACAGAAACAAAACTTCATGTCATATGTATTTCTGTATAGATGAGTTGACAATAAAATTCTCTTCAATGTCTTTATTTTTATTATCAATCTGATGATTATTTTCCTCAAATGATCAATTCTTTGGTCTATATTATGCCAGAAATGAAACAAAAATGTCCCAATCAATCACAGTTTATTAGTGCATTAGTGCATTATCACACAAATGTCTCAGTACACTTTACACAGAAACATACATAAAAATACAAAGGACAGCAAAGGAAGAACTTCACTGTGCAGGGAAACATGTTTCCTTACTGTATATAGGACACACTGACTGAATAAACCAAATAAAAAAAAAACAATAAAATCAATAAAATAGTATTTCATACTATCCATATGTCAAGGGACAAAAATATGCTATTCAGATTTAAACATCACGACTTAAGTGGCTTGCTTAGTATCAATAGTCCAAAGGAAGGGGGCATGATAATAAAAGGCTGACATGGTTTTTAAAACACCTTAGGAGGCACCAACAATCCTGCAGTCTGCAAACAAAGAGTTTGAGATGTATATAAGGAACAAGAAGAGCTGACAGGCATGCATGGCCCATTCCCATTAAAATTTTATATGTCAGCAGAAGGTACTTTAAAGTCTGATCTACACGAATGGGAAGCAAGACTAGGACTAACCATGACATTTCCTAGATCTAGTCAAAAGTCTAGCTGCGGAATTCTGAACCATTACAAGAATTCTCGTGGTACTACGAGAACGAGCTGAGAACAAATCATTACAATAATCAAGTCCGGACAACACAAACGCACGATGGCTTTTTGCTATATTGCATATCATGGTAACAGCCTTAATATGCTGAAAATGACTGGTTTTAACCCAAGTAAGGTTGCAACTAACTAATACTTTTATAATGAATTATACCTATTTTCTCAATTCATTCATATTTTGTCTATAAATAACAGAAAAAAGTGAGAAAGGCTCTTCATAATGTCCTAGGTCACAAGGTAACATCAACAGTCGTCTTGTTTTGTGTTATTAACTGTACAAAGTTAAACAAATATCCAACATTTGAGAACACAGAACCATTAACATTTGGCCATTTTTGCTTGGACATTTACTAAAATGATTATTCAATCAAACAAATGGAAATCAAATTTTTCCTGCTCAACAAATGGATTAAATGATTAATCGCTGCAACTCTGTAAATTCAAGTTCCTCAGTCTAAGCAAACTTTATTTGTTGAGGAAAACCTTGAAATGTAAGTTGAATATATTTGACTTTGGACTATTGGTAGCACAAACAAACAAAGGGTTAGCATGAATTCTGGGATATTTAAAATGATCAAAATATGATAATAAAATAACTGTCAGTTAAATACAGCCATACATACATGGAGCTATGATAATATGTCGTTGACCAACAGGTAGTCGTAACTGATGCCCTTGATTAACTTTATAATAAACTCGATTAGGTGAACTACTGTTACTGGGCGACTGTAAAAGAGTTAATATGACAAAAATTAAACTAAGTCCTCGTTCATTCTAGTAACCGGGTGCCCCCGGCACAGCGCCCCGGTTGCTAATGCTAGCTAGCAATATAGCTCCGCTTTTGACATGACAGTCGAGGTATTATCACTAAAAAGAGACAAGCTAAACCTATTTCTGTTCTGAGCTTTTTGACAACACAAATACATGGAATCTGTTTCTTTTAAAAACTCTGTGTTACCTTAAACAAATTTGACCAGGGTTTTCGTCTTCAATGTGACTTCAAACTCTACTGCCGACTGGTTCGTCACACATTTAATGCCGTTCCGGTTTCTCAGAGCGAATAAAGGTTCCACATGAAATGATGATGATAATAATAATAATAAAGTAATTACCATGATGCATGTAGGTTTTTAACTGTTCTTTAGTTTTTACGCCTATTTAAGGTTATTTTGCAGCTATAAAATTAAGCACTGACATCTGAATTATTTTAATTTGTTTGGGAACTTGCTGTAGGCCAATAGTTTATTTGGTTCTGCCATTTTGATACTTTTGTTTGATATTAGGTTTTAGGCAAGCTGAGGTGTCTCAGCATCATCATAGTTTTGTAATTATTGAGGGGGGAAAAAACGCAGTCTGTTACTTTTAATCATAACACAAAAAATGCTACAGTGTTTACAACAGACCACATACCTGTTGCTTAAACATCTGTAGAACAGCAGATGATCAGTATTTATTTCATAGTCTATCGCTAAGCATCTAAAAATAAAAATTAAATTAAAGCCTGTAGCCCAGTAACTGTTTACTTTGATTTTCTGTTTTGCTGTTGGTGTTTGTTTCCCCATTGTAACATTTCTAAACGTACTGATGAAGTGTTACACATGTCACAATTATTCCTTTGTATGCAGATACATTTGTAAAGTCTATTTCAATCACAATTCAGTTATATTTCCTTTTGCTCATTAAACTGAATATGTTTGTTTCTTCCATGTGGCACAGTTGTATAACCAGGGAAGCCTCCACATTTAGATTTCTGTAGTTTAATATATTTGTGGGCCGCCAAATCAAATCATCTCTTCTTTCATTGGGCTTTCTTTCTTAGCTCCAGACATTCATTTAGATGAAGGGAAATCAATCATCGACAGTATGTAGGCACTGTCAGTAGGCATTTTCACTATGTATTCTGAATATTGTATTTGTACACAAAAACAGAATACTAAAAATGATAATAACAATAATACAATTCAATTTTATTTGTATAATGCCAAATCACAATAAAAGTCATCTCAGGACACTTTACAATGTAAGCTCTAGACCTTACTATTATTATTATAGAGGAAAGACCCTCCCTGGAGCCGACACCTTAACATGGTGGAATGGTTTGAGTGCCTGAATGATCCCAGGAGCTAACCTGCTGCAGAGGCCGCAACGGGCCAGTGCATTGTGTTTTGGGCGGTGGCTGGGGCCAAGTGCCCAGCTGACCCAAACCTCGGACGCCAACTCGGAAAAACCCAACAACCTTCCCCCTTGAGCAGCACTTGGCGACAGAGGGGAGGAAAAACTCCCTTTAACGAAAGAAACCTCTGACAGACCCCGGCTCTTAGTGGGCGGCCTTCTACCTCGTCTGGTTGGGGTGAGTGGATAGAGAAGAGACAAAAGAAAAGCAACAAAACAACAATCAATCAAACACTGGGCAGGTTGATGTAGCTGTTGACTGCTCATCAGAACCACAGGAGGTGCTGACTCCAGCGGCAACATTTCAGTTTCCTCCACAACAACAACAGCCCAGGAAGTCTTTGTGTCTACTTCCACTGCTCCTTTATGCTCTTAGCAAGTTTCCATATGAGGACAACAGAGGATGTGCACAGCAGACTGTAAAGTTCTCAATAAATTTATTCATAACAACCAGCCATTTCATTGTGAATCCTGCTGCCTATTAACACTTTGCTTCACTATCCATACATAAACCATCAGTCTGTGATGATAAGGCAACTGAAATGATCAACAGGATGTACTGAGCTTTTCCCCTTTACAGACCAGTCTACCAAGCTTTGAAAATAATTTTATTCTACAAACTTATTCTATAAACTCTCTTAAAACAATGTTTAAATGTAAGGATTCAGGAAAAAAACAACAATAAATTATTAACCTGGCAGCCATTTCAAGGTGTTGGTCAATTCCACCTTAAATAAATGGCCTATACATTATATAATATGTACTCCAACTAAATATCTATTTACAAAATCAGCAGGTGTAGTTGGAGTTATATTTTCTCACTAGCAAATTAAAATATTCACTGTTTGATTGATTGCATTGCTGTGAAAGAGATTCTAACTGCTAAGATAAACAGAGCTTTACAGATGACAACATTATAATTTATTCCAGTCTAGGCATATGACAGGATGAATGTGATCAGCATAGAAGTACAGTATAAAAGATGTACCCTCTTCCACCCCCCACAACAAGAACCAACTCAATAAATAAAAACATATTAGAGAGAAAAGTGCAACTCGGGACACTGTGGAGACTGGACTCCAGAGCGGCAGACAAAACGAGCAAAACAGTAGAATGTCAGTCAGTGATGAACACGGTATACCCACACATTATCAGACAACACAGACAGTGCTGAAGTCTAACTGCATTATGGCACCATTTAAAAAACAAATTAAAAACATTCTGAATATATTACTTTAACCTAATACTGTCATTTCGTTATGGGCTGCAGAACATGTGAGTCAAAGAAGTGAAATGAAGTAATTCTGAAGGACAACAACACTGCATGTTGAAGTTTTAAGGCCATTTCATTTGATTTATGATACGCTGCTACTGTATATTCACTGTGGCTTTGGGTGGAGAGTTGGGTGACTGAGCAGAGTAAAACTATTACTGCAGCTACACAGTCCTTCATTTTTACACAGAAAACAAACATGTTTATTATCCTACTAGATGTTTTGTTAGAAAATACTAATCTAATATATGGTATAAAGTATAAATTTGATGTCTTTGTTGAACCAAATCCTTTTAAATTTGGCAAAAGCATCCAAGCAGAATTCCTCACTGTGTTGCTGTGAGATTCCTCTCAGGGAGCCGGCACTGTCTTCACCCTGTATAGCCAGCACACTGAGGCTATAAAGTAATATCTTTAACAAATAAATCTATTACATTTGCAGATAAAAGAAAAAAGTGGAAGGAAACAACACTGTGCAAAAGCTGGTCTGTCTTCGTGCAACATCCTCTCTGGTGTGCTCCAGGTTCCTGGCGTTGTGCTCACCTCAATGAGCAGCAGACTAGTCAGGCTCCACCTGCCTTTTCTCTTCTTTCTCATCTTCCTTTCTCATCACTTCTCATGGAACACGCCGGCACTTGGCTCATCTCCCAGAAGGATTGGGGCTTATGGGAATGCTTTGGTATTAAAACAGACATCTGGTAAAACCTCTTGTCACAGATTTAGATGTTAGAATACACTTTATTCATACAGGTAGTCAGATACTAATGACTAAAAATTATACTTTGATAATCTCTGGCAAGCATTATGAATAAAACACCTGAAACACCTGAAAAGACTATCGATGTATACCAGCAGTATTTAGTTTGGTATCATTGTATAGACCTTATAGCTGGTTCATCTGACTGTAGTTTAACTCCACAATCTGAAAGACCATGAGAGTACTGGAAAGAGTCTAACCTGAAGATGGAGATCCAGGATACAGCCAGGTGGATGGAGCTAACAGTTCTGCATACAGAGATGAACAAACAGCAATAAAAACACCAGACATCAGCAATTCAGTTCCATTCAAAAAGCAATACAGCAGCACAGGGCAGTAAAGCAGCAGCTGTACTGTTGCACAGCTTCAGCGCATCACGTATTGTGTGTATTTGGTCAGTTTTACAGAAGAGTATAAAACATTTCAATGCCAGGGTGTGCTCAGCATTAAGAGGACAAAAACATGCAGTGCAACAGAGGAAGTTCAGCCAGTAAGTAGATAAGATTTCTGCTTCCAGGCTGGAGTTGACTTACAGATGAGGACTGATGGTCCTGTGGTCGCTCCAGTTTTATACGGATGTCGGTCCCCCTTCCTCGTTCAGGTTTAGTGGGCCCTGAGGGATAGGTCAACACTGTGTTAAATCAGTCATATACATACTGTATGACCATTGCAGACTGATTTTGAAACAGGTTATGATTATCTGAGATGGATATGAGTATGCAGTGTTATGAACAATGAGATTGAAAGGTACATAAGTTGATAAGGCTGTATGTACACTCGTTATCTCTCTGCTGACAGTCAAATCAGAAACAACCCAAGGACCCATGCTTACTATGGCGCAGCATAAAGATGTAGACTTCTTTACACTTTTGTCATTTGCTTTATTCTTCCACATCCTACTTCCTTCTTTTAAGTCATTAGTGAACCTGTCCTGTAAGGTCACAGTTTGCGACAACCTGCTGGACCTGCATCTTCAAGCAATCTCTTTCCTGTCTCTCACCTGGAGAGCTACCACGACTGTTGGTACTGGTGCTGCTGATGTTGTCCTCCAGCCAGGTGGTATAGGTGAAGGAGTCTCGTTTGTGTGGTGTCCCGGCCGATGACAGACTTTCCTAAAGAATATCCAGTGTGGAGACACAACAAAACACCACATGCCTATTAGACTGAAAGTCAAACATATGATTTAAATGCAAAGGATTGTGTTGTCTGACAGGGACGTGTACTGAATGCACCACTCACCATGCCTGTGTCATAGTCCTCCGTGGCCTCGGCCTCCTCTACTACACTGGTGAAGCTGCTAGTGTTGGAGGAGGAGCGGGAGAGGTCATGACCCTCAGGGATGGATTGAGCCCTGCCACCGAGATAAGAACTACACCCTAGATGAATCACTCTCCAGTACAGCCAAACCTGATTTTATCTTATGTGTAAAACACAGTTGCTCAAGGTGCCACTGCGTCCGAGAATAACCCAGCAGTTACACAAACACAGGCACGGCAGCACAAACTGTGAATTCTATGATCAATACACTCATTTATGATGTAACTGTAACCTGTGTACCATACACACCTGTTCTTGGTGGTTGTGAGAACCTCAGGTGAACTCTGATTGGATGAGTTGTCAGATTTGGCGTCTTGAGAGACATGACCACTGTCAGGGGTCTTCTGTGTGCTTGGGGAATTCGCTCTACTGCAACATAAGACGCAAATATGATTTAACATCAAGAAAAGCCATATGTGCTTGTGTATCATCTAACAAGTAAGAGGAAGTAAATTATGAGTGTTATAAAAGTCTTTGCACAAAAAAAAAAAAAAAATACAGCAGGATTTGCCAGGAGTCTTCCTTCACCTTTTCTCCTGGACTTCTTGAATGTTTTCAATACCGATGGCACTGCTTCTCCTGGAGCTGAAAGGAGCAGACTTTTTTTTGGTTGGGCTTTTCCCCGGGATTATCAAAGACTGCCAGAGAGAACGTAAAGGCGGTGTCAGAGTTAGAGTCCAGATACTTCAAATACCTTGGGCACCTTCAAATAATATTAAGTTAATATTATATTTTTGTATTTTTTATTGTATTCAAATGGGAAAACATATCACACTGAATTATCAGGCTAAAGTGAAACACCCTTCCCTTTGAGTTGTTAGTAGAGTATGATGAAAAAGAGTTAGAATATGCATTTGGCAGCTTAATGTCAAGCCCCAGTGCCCATCTTTCAGCCAGAGCAGAGCACACTGAGGCCAGAGATGAAAGATGGATTTAAAGGCTCCAGGGTCTGCCGCTCAATATGCTTTCTCAGCGAGAGCTTTGTTCATTCAGTCTCCATTTTTAAGCTCTCAAAATAAGAACTTGAAAAAGCCTTTTATCCAATGTGGCTTCAAAGAGCAATAGGAGAATTGATTTTTTTTTTATAATTCTTTTGTAAGACGGTCACTGGCTCATGAATATTCATATTTTTTAATCTCAAAAAATTAAGCATACTGGAATTAAAATAGGCAGAAAAAACTGCAGAAGGTGCTGAAGAAAACATATTATAGAGAAGGAAGTCAAGGATGGTGCCTTTATATACAGTATGAACATCTTATCTCTTATAATTATAAAAATTACAATAATCTGATAGCTTTTATATGGTAGTGTAAGTAAAATCCCAAAGACTGTAATGTTCAAACAAATTAATGTGAACATGTGGAGAAAATTATTTAAGTCTGCTTTTGTTCTGTCACTGATATTTTATGACCGGTCTGTGATTCACAATGCATCATATGTTGAATACACATTATAATACTGCAATTTATTGAGAAAAGTGTGTAGTCATGATGTGGTGGAGCCATGCAAGCAAAAAATACACAAGAAAAGATGAGTAGTGAGTAGAGAAGTTAGAATTAGACATGAACCTCTTCTATTGTTCCTATCCCTATGGCACTGCCTCGACGTCCAGATTTACTGGGACTTTTTCCTGGGACAAGCAATGACTGAGCCACACAGGAAGAGAGAGAGAAACAGAGAGAGAGAGAGAGATGGACAGAGAAAGAAAGAGAGAGATGATGATAAAAGAAAGGGGGGGTAAAGGAGAGGAGAGAAAATGAGATACAAATATATATGAATTTCCATGCATGTTGTTCAAACAAAATATAAGGTACACAGTAACTGTAAATTACAAGGAGAGGCATTTTGGCTCCATGGGTGCAACACAGACAGCTGAATGGGAGAAAGAAATGATGAACCAGTTATGTGAGTCTGTCCCTGGGAGAGAAGAGATGAACAAGAGATAAAAACAGCAAAGGAGGACACGGAGCATGTTAGACAATCGGTTTCACATCAAGACAGGGCCATGGACAAACTCCACGCTTCAGCTGTATTCTTTGATATAGCGTGCTGGTAAATAATTTTAGGTTAGTTATTTCTAAAAGCAGATATTGCAATAAATGTAACAGAAAAATGTATACAGTACTGAGGTGGCTGTTTTCATATACAAAGATCTAGTTCAGGGATTAACACAGAAAAAAGGACAATAAAATGTGAAAGTCCATAAAAATCTGAGAATAACTAATAAAATACAGTACATATTTGATAAACAACCATACAGTATGCATCGCAACTGTTAAGTAACTGGCTCAGGTTTAAGTTTCATGTTTTACCTTCAGCTGTAATTTGTGTAACATCTGGTATTATCATAAAAATTACAGTAAATGCTGTTAATTGAAGGCACAAGGTTTTCATATTATGAAATATTCATTTGTTAGTAATTACAGTTACAAACACTGTGTGATCCCCACAAAAGCTTTGGCTGACATGCACACACACACACACACACACACAAGCAGGACTCACGCCACAGTTATTAAAATTCAAGTGAGCACTTTTGATAAATGCAGCTGCGTGGTGGACTTAAATAATGAGAACACAAGTAAAAACAGCAAATGTAAGAAACAGCTCTAATCCAGGGGAGAAATTCACCTTCAGTCCTACACATCTTCAAATCTATGAGTGTTCAGTTACTCCATATTGTGGTGGCAGAAAATATCGACAGTTGCAGTGTAAGAGCCGAGTTTAATGGTCCACTGGACCAAATGTGCAGCCCTTCCCTGTGACATGTTAGTGCAGAAGGCAAATGAAAGAAGTGGGGACATGAACCCTAGTTGACTTTCTGGGGGAGGCAGAGGAAGCAAGGCTCGCCTCACTAAAGACTAGGTGGAGTGGGACTGTACTTACTATCCTTGGGAATTTGGGGCTGACTGTGGGGCTGTGGTTAAAGCTTCCGCTCAGGCTAGTGGACAGTGAGTGTTGCTTCTTGAATGTAAGACCCATGGCATCCATAGACTGGCTCCTGCTGCGGATCACCCTCTACGGAGATAGACGAGGAGGAGATACATTCAGATGGCGCTAATCCTTGTGACCCATCAGCATTGCTGTATGGCATTACAGGCCGAAGGGAGTCTCAGGGCTTTCCCTGAACACTGGCCACTACAGGCAGAGAGCGCTAGCCTGATGCTAATCCCAACAGACAAGTAAACAGAAGAAAACCCTTGGTGCCCAGAGAGTGATTCAGATGAGTCATTATGTTTAGATGGGGGTAAGAGAAGAAAGAGGAGGTGGAAGGGCCAAGTGTCTCTCAGATGTCTGACCACACCGAGTTTAAATACAGCAGGGAGAAGTTTAAAACCCCAATACACCTCTCTGAAGACATGAGTGGGTAGGTGAAGGCATCTGATGGTGAAAAAAAAATCAGGTCCCGTTCATAAAGCCCATGACAGCAGGTGGAAGCATCATATAAATAAGTGATCAGTGATCAAGCACTGGAGCATGCAGGGACCACAGCCGTGCAAAACAGCATGGAAGCAAGAGGAAGAAAAGCTGGGAAGCAGAACAGAGCAGCAGAGACATTGCAGGAGACTGATAGATCCCTTACAGCCCACAGCTTACACACAGACAGGAATAATCTGGAAAGACTGGAAGAAACATTTGACTCTAATCTGAGAGCCGGTACAGAAATCGGTTACTGATATTAGATCCTAGTCATAAACTGTTTCTGTGCAGATAGTTTGATAACTCTCCTGCTACAGTTTGGATGAGAGGATCAACATCATTCTCAGATGTATGTGCTACATTAAGCTACAGCCAGTGGGTTATCTTAGCTTAGCATAAAGACAGGAAATATGGGTGACCAGCTATTGTGGTTCTGTCCAAAGGCAACAAAACCTGCCAACCAGCTGCTCAGTAATTGACCCATTATATCTTGTTTAATCCACACAAACACTGAGGTGTAAAACAATATTTCGGGGTTATATGACTTGCCATGTCCAAAGAAATAAAGTTTTTATGTTTAAAGTCTTTATGCTAAGCTAAGATAACTGGCTGGACACAAGCGTATTTCCAAAAGTGTTTAATCATTTCTGTCTGAGTGTTAGCACAAGTATAGAATTTAAATCTTCACAAAAGACCTTGTTTCTCAAGCCTGTTCCTTTCATTTGCATGAAGTGAAGCTTTCGGTTTGAAGCCCAGCCTCTGCTGCTGTCTCTCTAGTTACCTTGAAGGACTCAAAGAAACTTCCTCCTCCTCCACTCCCATTTTCCAGTCTCTCGTCCTCTCCTCCAATGCCCATCATGGCTTGACTGTTCACATGGATCTCCTCATACAGGGTCTCTAACAAAGCAGACCGTGTTCGCTCCTTCCACACACACACACATACACATAGATACATATACAAAGAAGGAAATGAAACAAAGGGAAGCAAAAATAACAGGAATGTCTGAAATGTTTTTCCACAACACACCTCTAATCTGGCAAATTTATCAGCTTTGTAGCAGGCATACTCTGCATTGATGAGTTTAGTAAAAAGGAATTCATGGAATTCAGGGCCCTGGGAAGAGAGGAGCACAGAGACAAGGTAAACTATAAGATGACGAAGAGGGGGAATGTGCAGTAGGTAAGTTATCCTTTCTCTTACTTTTTTAAAAACAGCAGGGTTTGGGAGAGCCGGGCCAAAAAAGGGGACATCATCCCGTGCAGTCACTGACACCTAACAATAAATAGATGAAGTTTAATCACCATTTATCAGAGGAAACACAATAAAGGAGTGGAAGAGAAGGAGCAGGTCACCTTGTAGAGAACATTGTCAGAGCAGGGGTTGACCACCTGGACCACAGCGTAAGCATGGAGAAAGTTTGAGGCGATCATGTCTGGCACAAAAGGAGTGTTTTCCTCTTGGAATACAATGGCCACGATATCATTCCCTATGTGCCTCTTTCTCTGCAACTGAAAAACAAAAGTCACACAGCAACTTCATAATTAAATTTCAAAATGAACATAAAATACTGTATGGTTCTCTCAAGACAGCAAAGGCAGACTGAAAATATGTTTGTGCTAAGTACAAATGGAAAAATAATAACTATATTTCTGTTTCATAAATCAAACTGAATACTAAATTGCTTTACATATTGTACAATAGGCAATTTTTTTTTTATAGCAGGTAGACTGTAGAAATTATGGATACATGTATTAACCCTTCATTCTTCCTTCTCCTTCTCTCACTGCAGAAACCATGGCAACTTGTAAAACACCACCAGGGGGCGCTGTTTCCCCTGACGACAGCCTAACACAGCACTGACTGGCTCAAAGAAGCCACTACTGCTGGGGAACCTGAACACATTGCCTTCTACAAGTAAGTGTTTCTTTACACCACGATCGCAAATGGTGTGTGAGCTGGTGCTAATTAATCAGTGTTTGTGTGAATATGTGAGACAGAAGAAGACTTGGAGACTCGGAGAAGAGGAGGCTGCCTGATCAGTGGAGTGCTGCATCTCAGCTTTAAATCACTAAGGCAAATCTTTAAAGTGATTTATGTTTCCTCCATATGCATTTTTCTCAAACACGTGGTTGTTTGGTGCAACAGGGAAGAACATGCAAATAATGGAACCTGTCTGACTGTTGGCTGTGAACCATGAAAGGTGTGCATGTGTTTGTCTGGTGTTGTGTTACAGTACCTGCTGGGTGTCCCCCTCTGTGTAAGGCAGCTTTGTGGACACATGGAACATGACTTCTTTGCTGCCATAGTTGCAGTAGACAGATTCTGTGCCAGTCTGCCCATGGATCACATCTAACCCCCCACGAAAGCTGTAAGCACACAGAACCAGGTCTAACAGGAAGCTTTCAACCATCACATTATTAGAGTATATTATTATATACTCTACCATACGTATTGTTATATATAGTGACTGTGAACTACAATTATGTCCTTACCCTTTAAAATTGTGCAATTCTATTTTCTCTCCTAGAAACTCCAAGAATTCTACAAAGGCAGGACTCTCCTCATTGTTGCCAAACAGCTCTTCCTCTGAAGTCTGTAGCCATTAAAAAAAAGATGTCCTGATCATTAAGGCTGGGAGGACAAAATTATTTCAGCAGCTCTGGGTCAAACACTGTGAGGATGGTTTGTACGGTAGACTGTGTGGTGCATGTTGCACTGCTAGGGTCCAATAATAATGCCACTTATGTCTGTGTTACAAATGAAAACAATGTTTGAGAAGCTTAATGAAAAGTAATCGGAAGGTGGGATTTGCTTGCTAGAGTACCAGCAATGTCACGAGTGTTGTATGTAAGGTGAGATTTTACTGCAACAGGTCATTAGGGTCCTTCTTTGGAAGCAGGGAAGTGTATCCATTGTGTGTTTGGCACACCTATTCCAAAACACACTGCATTGCATTTGAGACAACAGGGGTGGCTTCAGTTACAGAAAGGGTTGTAGTGATGTGAACACAAAAGCCCGCTTCAACACAAACACATGCCTGAGAAGTAGTCTTTTGCTTCATGAGCATTTGTGTTTTCTTTGCAGTCTTCAGTATGCCTACTTAACCATCATGCCTTTCTCCTCAAGGCACTCCTGATGATGTGCAAAGGGAGCTCACAAGCCTTGTGAGATGACCCTTGGCTCACTTACAGTGTATTTAAACAGCAAACTTTAAGAGATCAACTGTGCAGATCTCTACACACTGAGGTCTCCTTTCAAATGGACAAGTGCCCTCAGCAAAGCATTCAATAGCTCCTCTGCCCCCACATACTGTAGTAAACAAGAGGGCTGTGATTGCCTCAGAAAATGAGAGGGTGTTGAAGACTGCCACTGCGGCTGGGCTGCACTGAAAGCCATAATTAAGACTAAGGAGGACTGAACATAGCTTCCCTGAGGAAAACAGAAATGACAGTGAATTGTACATGCTCATTGTTGCTGGGCTGAATAAAATGAATATGCACTTAACCACCTCTACCCAGACTGAAAATGTACCTTTTCTTTTGGTTTACATTATAGCTCACCTGTCCAAACTTTTGATAGATGACCCCAAACTTGAAATTGTTATTTATCACATGTTCATCAAAAGTGACAATAAGTCTTGAAGCCTGTAAATAAATACAGATATAACAAGAAATCATAAAGGATATGTCCACAGGTTTCCAAGTCTGGTGCCCATATGAACACTGAAACAAACTTTACTTGGTGAAATCATTCTGGCTGGTAGGAGATTTTTTTTGTTAATATGTTTTCATTGTAGGAGATGGGGACTGAAGCAAATATCAGTTTTTTATTAGTCAGCTTTGGACAAATTAAACTTTAAAATGTACAGTGCTGTTACTCTTTTTGTTTGCCCAGACAGTGTTTCCTATGGGCACCAGACCGTTTTAAGACAGATATGAAAACTAGTGACCCTATCCTGGAAAGGGCACATACAGTGGCGGCAGCTATGCAAACCAAACCAGGTCTTACTTTTGGATAAAGGACAGGGAAAAAGCGGTCCACGTTGACTTCTTCACACACAAGCTATGATTAAAACAAAGAGGGAATCCATGTCAGAATGTAATTAGACACTGACACAACAGACACATGTCTGCATGATAAAAACACTTTTCCTCACCTTGGCCATTTGCACCACATTGGGAAACTCTGTCAGACAGGAAATGGGGATCACATCATGGTAGGTTTTCAGTTTGGTCCTGGTCAAGTCATAAAACAATCAGTGCAGTCTGAACGCCATATAATGTGATGTAACATTTCTGACATCCTGTCAGATGAGAAGGAGATGATCCGGGATGAACCATCATCAAACTTCGCCTCTCTTTACTTTTCCCTCCATCCCCACCCACTCGCTGGTCTAAATAGTCCATCTGTTCCTCTGTCGTGGAAATAACAGTGCTGTTGATGCTCTCTCTACCTTTATGACTCTTTTGATAACACCTGCGCTGGGAGGATGTTTATCCAGTCAATACTAGGCATCTCAGGAGCAGAAAAAATATCGAATTATCCTGCATCTATTTTTCATGAAAGAGGTCGCATTTTGTTTACACCTACACATTCATCTCTTCTGCACTGCAGTGCACAGTTCAGGTTTAAAGGTTTGTTTCCCCCTGTAAATTAAGCATCATTACTGCACCATGTCTGCATAATGAGCGTTACCTGAGCATTAGGCGGAGATGTTCCTGGTCGCCAATCACATCCAGTCAATACCCATATCTTCCCAATGTGAGTACCTTTTCTTCTGCTGCTGCTCAAATCAGATCAGGCAGATCAAATTTGTTCATAGTATGTGTGTGCAAGAGCAGGTGGCAAACCCGAATGCATCTTCATCAGCAGCAGTGCATAAGATGCCACACAGTGAGGCTGATCACGGTTAACGGTTTACTAAGCTTGGATTTGCTTATTGCTTATTCATTTCATTAGCAATGAGCAAAAAATAAAGTTGATAATGAAATATTCTATGAGAGTAATGAGATTCATTACCAGGGAAGCTTCTCTATTGAGAGTATTCATGGTTATGACCTCAGTAATATCATTGTGAAAGTAGAATTCAGATAGGAAGAAGATCAAGGAAAGTGACTGATGAAACAGCTTTGGAGATACAGCAGCTGCATTCAGTTTTGATAAAAATACAGTATGCGCCGGCACTTACTTTAAAGATCATTATGTAACAAGAAATAACCGTGTTTTGTTTTTTGGCAGCTCCACCAATGCCTCCCACTTTTTCCTCTCTTAACACTTTGTCTGTTCATATGGCTGTCCTGGTTTGTCTTTATCTTAACATTTATATTTAGATAAAAAGTCATCTTCGAGCTAGATGACAGTAAAAATGATCACTTAATAAAAATAAACTGTACATTATGGCAAAGGGATCTCTCTCTGTGGTGCACAAAGTGGCTAACCTTGCTGAGGAAGTGTTTCCGGTAGAGCATGGCTGTTGTGTTACATTCCAGCTTGGTACGGGTGTTTGGGGATGGAGGCTGCAGCTGCTCTCTATCCACGTTGTCACTCAGCTCATGGTTGGTCCCCTCAATCCAGTAGCCCCCAAACTGCGGCAGTAAGATAAGAGGAAAGGGGCTAGTTCTGCCCAATACCTGTCACAAAATGCAAAATAACAAAGGGCTCATACACAGAATGATATTCCAGTGTAGGCATTTCAGCAGCACAGCAGAAGATAAGATCAGTTTCAGATCTCATCTTACCTCATGGACACTTGGGTATGGAATATAGTCCTCCTCAGTCTAATAAAGGAGAGAAAACCACTTAGTTTGCTCATCAAAAAAATAAACCATGTTGGCCAACTCTCTAGTTCCAAAGGATACTGTTTCAGCATAATTGCATAACTGTTATGCAATGAAAATCAGCTCAGCAACTACATAGGAATCAGTTATAATCAGTATTTGATCAGTTGTGACTTGATCAAAGCATTGCCTGATGTATTTATATCCTTCCATTGCTAACATGATCATATCCTGTCAAAAGCTTCGTTACTAACATTTTGGGATTCAAGGCAGCAGAACATAACTAAATCTGGATTGCTAATTTCCTATGTCAATGCACACATTTTCTATTTTTTATGTTCAGTGTTCTTATCTTTATTTATTATTTTTACTCTTTAGCATTATCTTTTATTACCTGTTCCCTACAATCACACTAAAGCTTCCGTACCGGCGTCAAATTCATTATATGTTCAAACATACTTGACCATTAAAGATGAGTCTGAGTTTAAACTAAACAATACATGAATAATACTGTGCTACTGTGTGTTCAAGTAATGAACAGAAGGTATGACCGCATCATGGGAATAATCCAATGTCTCTACTTGGACAGTTGTACCTTGAGTGGGGGAGGAAAGGTGTATCTCTGCTCATCCATCCTGTTTCCCTGTGAGAGGAGAGGTCGTGATAAGAAAACCAGAGAGACAGAGACAGAAGTTATCAACACAGCAGCTGGTTTTGCATTTGAAAAACATGCACACAAATACATCATTAAGCAGTGTAATGACTAAATGCACAACTACAACAGCCTCATTACATAACAGTACAGTTTTCCCAAGAGTTGTGCAGAAAGCAACAAGGCGAAGTCAGACAGTGACAGATGGAAAGATGCAGAAAGAGATACGTTACATACAGACAGAGCGTGGGCACCAAGAGACAATTAAAGGAAGCGAAAGAGAAGGCATCTGGGAGTCACTAAAGCAATTCTGTTAGCACATAGAAGAAGTGCAGTAATAAGACCCGGGGGATTAAAAGGAAGTGACACTCCTACACTCAAGCACCCACTGGGCCTGAGGTGTGTATGTGTTTATGCGTGAAAGCGAGCAATGCAGTGATACTAAATCAGGGCTAGGTGATAGTGCCTGGCATCAGGAAGATGATGCATCATATCGATATATTATCTGATTATGAAAAAAGCCCAGTAATGCCAACACACACATTTAGGTGGGAAATACAGTGCACTGCATCGAGGTCACTGAAAACTATTACGACTGTAACTGATTTCATATTTTGTAAGCAGTGTGCACTCCATCACTGATGCACTGATTGCTAACATGCATGCACACAAGCATTCAAGTTCTATTAAGCTCTATCATCACACTCAGCCTGTTGTGTTTGGGACTACATGAGCAAAACAAACATTCTTCCAAAGCCTCCAGAAACCAGGAGACCTTTCTTTAGTTTTGAATCAGGATAATATGTTTTAGCTAGTGTTACAGCCAGAATGGTACCAGAGACACACACATAATTCTCTGACAACTGTCTTCTGGATCCTCCAGGCTTAATGTCCTCCTTGTGTACAGGAAGAAAGGTACTGAGGACCAGGAGAGGAGAATTAGGAAGCGACACACTGACTGGTTAGTTGTTTGGTGAGTATAGCTTAAAGAACTGAGGCAAAATACAAGGATCTTACCTGCATCTTTTCAATCATTTCAAATAAATCTGTGGCCTGCAGAGAGGAGAGCGAGATGCATTTCTTTTGAGTTCATTTGTTCTACAGGGGTGAGTCTGATGACTGTAGTTCAGCTTTGAGCAGCACTCTCTCCATTGCCAGGACACATTTTAAACCCTTGCGCTTTGTTGATGATGGATTTATGTTCTCATTGTTTAGTGACCTACAGGCCACACTGCTCTATACATGACATTTGTACAATCACACTATTGTTTGTTTTCTTTTGTTCTGAACTTATTAAATCCATTATGAAGAGAAGGCCTGAAGTATTAATTTGTCTCTGCCATAAACTTGGCTTGCACATTTGATGGCCAGAAGGCATTATTATTACAACAAATAAAAAAATTTATAAGTCATTTGTGCTATGCATGAACAACATTTTGCTCTTCATGGTGAGATTACATTATGTTTGAAATGTCCCACAACTCAGAGCTGTTCAAGAAGTTAACGTGGTAAATTGGACATTTTCTGTCAGCTCTTCCCATGAACTGCAACACTGCCAAAGCTCAAGCTTATATTTATTTTAATATACATTTTACCTGAGTGTAGCATGTGATACCCTCCCTTGTGGTTCTTCACATTATTACAGAGCCATGTGTCACCAACCAGCTTTTCTGAATCAAACAGCTGTTTAATTCTTTAGAGTCCAACCACAGCTGCCGAGGTTCTGTCCCTTAAAATTTCACATGCAAATCTTGTTTGCATCTATTGACTGTAGCGACTCTAGCTAGTGCAGAAAATGCTGAACTACAACAGCCCATGAAAGGTAAGGAGTAGTCAAGTGGAAGGCTGAAAGGCATAGCCAATAAAGCCTGAAGTACAGTACGGTTTGTGTACAGAGCGATTGTGCATTAGTTTTCAGTGTGAGTATGAGTCCTCCACCATGTGCAAACAATAGTCTGCCACAAACCCTGAAAGTAAATAATGTCAGCTTCTACAATATTAATCACAGGCCAGAATAAGAGGAGCTGCACATTATCTTTAGACTTTAACAACAGCTGCATTAGTAATAAAACCTTATGTCCCTGCCCACAAAAACATGGGTATGCCTGACCACATTTTATAATGTTGTTTTTATTTTACAATAATGAAAACATCTGACCTTAGAACTTAAAATGCTTCCCTACAAACATACACGTTGGTTCAGCTCATCAGGTCAATAAACAACCACTATCACCTGTCAGGTTTTTCATTTCCACCTCTAACCTTCATGTCTGAGTCGCTGCTAAAAATGCTGCCAAATTCCCTTCCTGTTTTGCCATTTAGTGATGACTTCCATCCAGCATGTTCTAAAGCAAAGCTACTTACATGGTTGGGTTTCCTCCAGTGGACCTTTGTGACCACTGCAGCATCGATGTAGTCATTGTGGTTTTTAGCCATTTTTAACAACTCCTGTCCTGCAGCTTCAAAACATGTCTCGCCTTGACTGGCTTCAACGGGTTGGGATTAAACTCTCTCGCTGACTGCTGTGACTTTGTCAGATGGTAGACAGTTGACTGTGTCCCACTCATTTGACATCTGAGGCAAAGCTGCACCACTGCTAACAGCAACCATGACTGTGAAAGTGTTGGATCACACAAAGTTGGAAACAAGCTTCACAGGCGCTCCCACTGGGTGCTCTACATAAGACTACCAGCAAGTGTATTCCTCAGTCAGCTGTTGTTGCTTGAAGTTTAGAGAAGTAATCCTCTGACTGAAAGTAGAGGGACCTTGTCATCTGCTGATCCTTCTCTGCCTTTCTTAGTTGTAGTGCAGGAGGAAATCCAAACAGCATATCGTCTGCTTCAGTCTTATCTAACCGTATTATGACTTTGGCTGACAGGTAACCAGAGGTGGAGTCTTACTTCTCTGCTCTCAACAGTCTCCTGTTGACATGGGAACTGCACTGTATGGTCGGTCCTAAATATAGGGCTAAATGACATCCAAAACTAGGAGGTCATCAGCTATGAACAAAACTAAAGTAGAAAATAAGGAGAAATAAAAGAAAAGAAAAACTATTTTGAAGAACTGACCAGTGAAAGAGGTGTGAGAATCTATAGGGAGCTGGGCTAGCATACAGTGCAGGTGTCAGAGCTGAGACCTTTCAGTATGAGAGCTAATAGGGTCGTCATGTTGATAATGAAAGGCCTCAGCTGCAACTCTGTGCATCCTCATAGAGCTCATTAAAACTTTGAGAACATCTGATAGACCCAGGGCCTTATTTAGTTATTTTTCTTTGAAGTGCAGTGAAGTATGTCTGGTTCTTAGTTTAGCATTTTGTATCCAGCTAATTTAGGCCTGTTTTTGATTTCACTTGCAAACCAAATTTATGGAGGGCTATAAGAACTGACCCTGATTGATGCAGCTCCTGGAAAGAGCAATCTGTCATTCATCTGCTGGGTTTATGGTTTGACCGAGGAACGTGTCTGCATTAGGAACCTTACCCCAGTATTTAGGGTTTATACGTATACCTCAGGTTTATGACAGGTAGCCATACAGAGTGTGTGTGTGTGTGTGTGTGTGTGTACAAAGTCATTAATCATGCTTTAATCAAGGCTTTAATCATGTTAGACATTGTGTAACCCATATTACCAGTATCTCAGAACTGTCTTATAAAATGTGTCATTTTTTAAATTAGCCTGTGACGAGGACCTGTGCAGAGATGTCTGAAAATGGTGACATACAGTATTTCATGTCTGTTTGTGTTACTTCTCTTAGAAATATGCACCACTATGACATAGCAGCGACATAGCAGTGCAGTTTTGGCAATGACCAGAGGACCGGGTGGGGTTAACTGCAGATTGACCTGGTTTTCACAAGGCTCTTGATACACTCTTCTGAGTCTTGCCCTACTAAACCCTTATTATAGTACAGAATCTCATATTGCCACGCTGTCCTTCAGTATTCTGATCAGAGAGCCTGGATTTCACATCCAAAGGGGTCGCCTAAAATGGGCTTACAGAGGTCAGATATTGGATATAACTGTATTTTCAC